CAAAGAGTCTAATTACCAATTTTTTCTTCTCGCGCTCAAATATAACATTAACCCGCATGCGAGCTAACCTTGAAATAGAAAAAACACAGAATCCCGCTTGCGGGTTTCAGTGTTATTATGCAGGCGGGATTTTAACCTGCTTGCTTGTAAACATGTACCACATTACTCTGAAATTATCCCTTAATTTAACTACCATTATAGCTATGCGGCAAGAGTTCAAGTATAGACAAATAAGGAGCAGTAAAGGTTCAGACTAAGTTCTAAAGCAAAAAAGCACACATCAAAAGCCAATTTCCAAGATGCCTCAAGCATGGAACCAAATTCTGAAGCATTGAACCAAGCATTGAACCAAATTCGTATGACTTACTTAACATGGGCTCACACCACTGAACTTTGGATTCATTTGACAATATAGCTGTCCAGAAGTTCATAACCAATTTTTACAAAACAAAATAAGGTACATAAGTAGCTAATCATTAAGTCCAGCAGACACCAAGATTCAACAAAAAGTGTAGCAACAACATATTAACAGTAGACACCAAGATTCAACAGAAAGTGTAGCAACAACATATTAAAAAAAAGCATTTGCAAACAAATAACTTAATTGAATTACAAACACGTTTAGCCCTCTTAGTCCTCACATTCTAGAAACACGTTTAGCTTTCTTAGCCCTCAAATTTTCCAACACACTTGCAACTGTTGGTACAAGTTTTCTGACTCTAGTTGATCTTCTAGTATCCAAAATGGGTTCAACAGCAGAAGCAGTTCTTGTAGTATCCAAAACAGGTTCAACAGGTTCATCAGTTGGTCTTCTAGTGTCCAAAACAGGTTCAACAGGTTCATCAGTTGGTCTTCTAGTTTCAAAAGCTGGTTTAGCAGCAGAAGTTTCACAAGGCTGCATAAATAGATAGGTTTAAGTCAGTTAAATGCAGTAATTGCAGTAATAACCATCATCATTAATAGTACCTGTGACACTGAATCCTGTTGTGAGACAGATCCAATACTTGTATTTCCAGCATTTACAACATCTTCACCTGCATTTCCAGCATCACTAGCTCCAGCAGGCACCTATTTTAATGGTAACACATAAGGTAACAAATTAAGTACATATGACACTGATTACAAATTAACTACTACTTACCTTATAAAACTTGGACTTTGGATGGATTGGGAATTTACAAGTCCTAGAATTATGTCCTGGCCTAAAACACTTCTTACAGTGCACAACAAGTCCTTTCTTGTAGATGTGGTGCCTCTAACTTCATCAGCTTCTCTTCTTCTCACTTTCTTGGGTCTTCCAGGTTGCTTTCTAATCTTTGGGGGATTCACCTTTTCAGCTCCTTTTGAATCCCAATAGTCTTCAGAGGGCATTGCAGCTATAGTGTAGTTATAGGTGCTCAAGTATGCTTCTTTGCTATAACAAGGATCAACATAGTGTTCAGGCTCTGATTTATCCCTTTGAATGGCAGCAATAGAATGTGAGCATGGAATCCCACTTAGTTGCCATGATCCACATGTGCATGTTCTACGACTTATATCAACAACATATACTCTAGTCCCACAATCCACTTCATACTCAGCATCCCGAGAATAATGAGCTATGCAGAACCTACTATTTAGCTTGTTCCTCTCAAGTCGTTCTTGTATGTTTGGACAAAGGTTCCCTTCATACTGTTGCATGCCTTCCCTTTTCACATTTAGCCTCTGCATGAGTTTTCTTCTTATCCACTCAAACATGGAGATGATTGTGAACTCTCTTGCTGGAAGTATGTAGGAATTAAATGACTCATTCAAATTATTAACAAGAATATCACTCTTGCATGAGGAGCTGAAATGTGACCTGGACCATAAATGTGCAGGAATCCTGTTTAACCAACCAGCTGCATTCATAGCTTCTCCCACCTTTGGATCAGCCCTTTCCAATTCAGCCATTGCTATCTTGAAGTCACGAATGTCCCCAGCAGACGCAGCTGCCCAAAAGTACTCCTTCAACTCCTTTCCCTTGAACTTCTGTTTGAAATTTTGATATATATGACGAAGGCAGTACCTATGCTCTGATTCAGGAAACACATCATCAATTGCACTGACTAATCCTTTTTGCCTATCAGATATGAATGTCCATGGAGCTCCATTTTCAGCACCAACTTCAATTTTCAACTCCATCAAAAACCATTTCCATGAGTCATATCTCTCGGCTTCCACTACAGCCATTGCAATGGGAAACATGTTATCATTGCCATCCCTACCCATAGCTGTCAAAAGTTGTCCACCAAATGGACCTTTTAAAAAGCAGCCATCTAATCCAATTATTCGTCGACAACCAGCTAGAAACCCATTCTTCATTGCACTTAAACTCCAGTACATTCTTTCAAATATCCCAACCTCGTTCTCATCCAGTCTAGTCACTTGCAGGACAATATGGCTACCAGGATTCCGAATCAACAAGGTAGCAGCATAATCTCTGATGACATTATACTGTCTTATATCATCCCCTTGTAGTGCCTCTCTTGCCAATCTTTTAGCTCTATAAGCCTGTCTCATGCTTATGTCCACCATAATCTCTCTCCTCACAGTCTTGACAAATCCTTCAATAGAAGAACTTGGTTCATCTCTGAACCTGTCTAAATATTTTTTGCTCAAATATCTTGCATTTGCATGATGATTGCTGTATTCTCTTCCACACACATGCACTCCCTTTATTGATTTGATCTGAAAGGTGCTTTCATTTTGAATTGGGCTTGCCCGTATTTTCCAAGAACAACCCTTTTTGCACATGGCAATAACTTTTGCTCTTTCATTTTTTTTGTACTTCATGGTGTAGCCTTCCCTGACATTCCATTCCACAAGTGCTTCTCTAAAGGCCCGTAAGTTCTTAAATTTATCCCCAACTTTCAACTCAAAATCTGACTTTCTGAATTCAACTGCAGCATTAAAATCTCGACAACTATTACCTTTCCCATTTCTTTCATCATCTCCCCACATAGTGTCAAGCAGTTCTTCATCATCAATAGCAAATTCATTCCACTCTTCATTAGTTTTAGAACTCTCCCCTTCTTCAAATTTGTTCTTAGAAGAGCCTGGTGTTTGCAGATCCTCCATTGTATATGTCTGGTTCGCTGTTGTTGGTTCTTCATCTGTGCCTTTTGCCTGCTGCTGATTTTCTATTTCATTAGCCTTTGCTCTGTTTGCAAAAATATCTTCATCTTCTGGTCCTTCTAATCCCTCTTTCAACCACTCAGGCTCTTCTAAACTATCAGATGTAGCATCACCGTACTCATCTTCATTTTCAGGCTGTTTTTCAACTTCATCTTGCTTTTCTACAGCTTTTTCACCTTTTTCCTTTGCTGAATTAGACTCTGCTTTGCTGTGCTTTTTGTTTCCAGTTAGCTTGGTCTGTCTTCTCACTGACTTCTTGACTATCTGTTTCCCCTTTTTGTTTGCTAACTTTTTTGGGGTATCTTTATCAGATGCCACATTTTGTGCTCCACTATGTGGGGCATCAGTGGGGGCACTTTTACCATGACTTTTTACTCCAGCTGAAGCAATTTCACTAGGCATTTCATCACGCAATTCAGCATATATGTTGATAACATCTACTCCTTCATGTGCAGTTAACATTAACTCTATTTCTTTATCTCCTTTAATTTCAGCTGCTCCAACATACAACCCACAATTTGGTATTTCAAAATATAGGTTCACATTCGAGGCATCACCATACCTACTATACAATTTACACAACATATCCCTGGACAATTTTCTTGTCTCACAATTTTTAAATATGGCTACATTGTTACCAGTATAGACAGTTTCTGGTTCCCATATGAATATACCACCGAAATGCAATTTTATAGTAATTCTTTTTGAAGTTGTCATTTTTTTCAAAGCCTGCATTAGAAATAGTGAAACACATGATAAGAAAAAAAACACAATCTGATTAAGAAAAGGACATTTAATAGATTACACACTTCAATGAAAACACATGATTACAAAAAAATACAATCTGATTAAGAAAAGGACATATTGCATATCGCATACTTCCATGGACCACATGACGGCCAATAAGCCGACAAGCAAAAATTATTCAATGTCCAAATTGTCAAAACTTTATCAGCAGCCAAATCACTCTATATTATTGAAAATCAAGCCACCCACATTTGACCCAAATCTGACACTAATCAACAAATCTCAAACTAACAAAGTCGTATTCTACCCATGTTTAGTTGAAATTCCGGTGATTTTAGAACTCCCGAATGCAATTTTCTTTACCCTAATCTTAATGCATAAATTCAATTCTAGTCGATAAAATACTCTATGCTTAAATATGATAATACAGATTGTCCCAAAGCAGCAAAATTTTAAATTAATCAACGCTTAAGCAAAATAATCATTGATTTATTAACTTTCCAATGCCCGCTAGTTTCTGTTCAAAAACCATGCAAGTGCATCTTATATGCTAAAATGATGTCAAAAAACTTACCAGATGCAACAACAGCTTTCGTGATGCTCTTTCACAGCTACTTTTTGGTCTTCAATGGTAGATCTTTGTGGGTTAAATTTCTCTCCTTCATTCGGTGGTCATGTTTTTCTCTCCTTTTCTCACGACAAAGACAGAACAAGGAAGAATCTGACTCATCTGCTTCCTTTTTGTATTTATATTAGGGTAATTTGGACATTTTGCCCACGAATCGTTACGGTGGGTGCTTTCCGTCTATTTGCCAGTTCAACCCAAACCACAGGGGGTTTATGTATAGCTTTTTGAACGATGGGGGGGTTATGTGGTTTTTGCGAAAACCACAAGGGGCTAAAATGTAATTTGCCCATGGAGAAATTGGTTCACGGGCAGCACAGCAGAGCAAGGAAAAGCTCGAGGATGAATATTCCGACGGAATGGCAGCGAGGAATGGTAGCAGTTTTCCATTCCATTCCGACGAAATTGGTTCACGTGCTGTTTCAGCATCTTACTTAAGTAATGAGATGTCCTTCCTGATCTCTTCTGCTCCCTATCTAGCATTTTCAGCCTCCGACACCAGCTGCTGGAGTTTTAAGCGCATATCATCGTACTCTCCTTGGGGATCTCCTGCAAGAGCTGTGTCGAGCTGTGCTTTATATCTCTCCAATTCACTTTGCAAAGTTTCAGTTGTTAATTCTGCTTCCGATGCCTTGTCCTTCAATTTAGAATGGTCCCTCTTGACATTATCAAGCTCCTCCTTAAGGAAATCTACTGAGCTTCTCTGTAAGTTTTGTTCCTGCACAATTTCTCGCAGTTTCCTTGTAGCATCATCAAGCTCTGCTATGGCAATTTTCAGAGAGGACATATCTGATTCTCTAACATTTTGCAGCTATTCTTGAAAAAGCTTGATTGCCTCCATTGTTTCTTCGAGCTTTTCCTCGAGAATTTCGCTAGCATCAAATTCTTCTTTCAAGGATTTGATTTTTAGCTCTACTTGTTCCTTGGTTGTTTGGTGAGATTGGAAGCGAGCCTGCTTTTATTCACGATGCTCATTTCCTTCTTCTTGCGCCTGGAAAGTGGCCAACTTGACCTCTCCCATTGTATCGCGCAAGATGGTGATTTCACTGGAAATTCGAGTTAGCCTATCTCGGTAAACTTGGGTGAGGTGCTGGGCGTCCGCAGCCTCTTGAAATGCAGCCAGTTTTGCTTCGAGGACTCGATCAAAATCCTGTCAGAGGGTTGTAAGCTCTTGTTTAGCAGAAATGAGCTTAGCAGCGGAGGCCTTGTATAGTTCTCTTTCGCTATCGACATCTGTTTCCAAGCATCAATGCCAAGGTGTTGTCTGCTGGATTTGTGTTCCTCGAGCTCCTTGGCTCTTTGCTTTGCAGCTTTTGTTTCCTCAATAGCTGCTTGCTTGGATTCACTAATGATTTCGAGCTTGTTTGTTAGTTCCTGTAGCGTTCTGTTAGCTTTCTCCCATTCTCGGAAAGCTTGAGCTTTTGTGGTTTCTGTGCATTTGAGTCGTGGCCTGAAGTCCTCTAGTTGCTTGAGGGCCAAGTGAAGAGCGGATTCTTTCTCGACCACTCTCTGCTCCCCACCCAACAAAAAAAAAAATCACTATTCCATGGAGGTAAAAGTGATGGTGGCTGGCTGTTCGATACTACGATAGATTCTATGTTCAAAAAAATGAAAAAAGGGCTACTTTAGAATACTATGACTTATATACCTCATCAGCAGTAGAGGATTTTTTTGGCTTTCTAGATTGAAGGGGCTGTTTCTTATTGTTGTTGTCGTTGTTGGACATAGGCGAGGTTGCAGCATCCCCGAATAAGCTAACCGCGGCCTTGACAGATTGAAATGGAGCGCTGGTGTCCACCTCTCCCACCTTAGTTCTTGGAGAGTCTCCATTGCTGGATCTTGGAGTTCCCACTATTGGTTTCGGCGAACTAGCCGGAATTGTAGAATCCAAGGAACGAGTTCGTATGTGGAATCTGAACATTGTAAGAATTTCTTTTTCGGAAGGAAATTATTTACCCACAACAAATTAAATCACCACAAAAAATTCAGTCTTGCTTCCCCATAGAAATTCTATTGTGTACTTCCAAAAAAGCCCCTGCCTCGCCGTCAGTTTTTGTACAGATACATGTGTTTTGGGTGGCGACACCGTATAGGTCCTCGATTGGCATAAGAATTTTAGTTAAGAGACTTAATTCATATGAGAAAATGTTGAGGGACCAAATTGGCATTAGTAAAATAGTTTGAGGACTAAATTGGCGATTTTCCCTAGAACATTATGATCTTCATAGTAACTTATAAATTAAAATAGCCTATAATTTATGTAAGAAATAGATAAAAGAATTTAACCCCTTCAAGCCCAATTAATCTCCATGCTTTAGTAAATGATTTGAGATACAGTTTAAACAATGGTGATTGAAGAGACACAAGATGCTAAAGCTTGAAATGAAAAAGAATGCATGACATTCAGCGTATAATTCAGTCTTATTTTTGTCATTCAACGCGTAATTTAAGTCCCGTATAGCTAATCATTTTTCTATTTAGAAAACAAACCTCATTAAATACCGGTGATTGAAGATGCACACGAGCCTAAAGATCAAATGGTAGAAAAACATGGATGAACCTTCTTGTGTCATTTAGCATGTAATTCAAGTGTCGAAAAGCTAGTAATTTTTTTCATTCAGAAAATCAAATTGCATTGCATTACTTGGTTTTTTAAAAATGAAATCCAAATTATTTATCTAAAATTGATGCCACATTTTTTTCTAATTTATGAGATCAAATGAAATGATCAATAAGAGAGACAAAGTTTTCACGTTTATTTATCCAAATACAAAGGTTTAGATGATCTAACTCAGATGCTATAATACAGCACAAAGCAACACTAGGATTGAGAATCCAAATTTGATAACAATTCCAGATTAGTATTACTATGATACTTTATTGCATCCCTCCCTAACAAACCCTAAGAGCATGCTAGAACAAAAGAAAAGCTAAGTCTGTCTCATATTGCTTGAGAATATACAATCTTTAGCATCCATTGTTTCTATCTCCTTCTCATTTGTAGATTGCTGCTAAACCACAATCGAACAAGCATCAAATGTTGGATCCTTAATTCAACATTGGATTTATATGTGAATAATTATGTGTTGTAAATTGTCAAATAAGGTTAAGTCTAATTAAAGTGGTCAAATATGGTTTGGGGTTAATGTATCTAATATGATGTGGGCCTTTAATGCGTAGAAACTTAAGGGTATTTTCTATTTCTATGATGGGTTGAAATAGGGATTCAAAGGGTAATAGGAATGTTATCTACAAATAGAGTTATGGTCCCCCAGTCACATGGATTCTTGTTGTCATATTTTCTAGTACCACAAAATAGTTTTTTCCTGATATCCCATCGTCAGGAAAGATACCAGAGAGAAATTAAATGGTTTTCTCAAGAATTAGCGAATACGTGTTGACCTAGAAGGCCACCCCAAAATTTTCAAGGATTCAAGTGCCAATTTGTCAACATGAATCAAGGTATGCTTCCGCAATTTTAATATTAATTTATTTCTTAATACTCACCATATAGATTTTGAGTTTAATAGGTGATAGTTGTCACAAAAAATTAAACATAAACACCACCCTAACAAGTGGTATCAGAGTAGGATATAGTTGATTATTGGGAAATAATTTGGATTCAATAATTTGTGTGTATATATATATATATGTATATACATATTTTTATGTCTTGTAAATTCGGTTTTTTTTTTGTTATATGGTTATCGATTCTTTAACATAATGGCCGATTGTTCACTAGTTGTCATGATTGTTCAACTTTTCATTCACAATAAATGGCTTTGTATTTCGGCTTCATGTTTCATGCTTCTTATTGTATTTGCCATTAACAAATTTAGTCATGTATTCGGTTTGCATGTTTCGGCAATTCAATTGATTGTTATCGTGTCAGTTACATTGATTCATTGTATTGGTTTTATAGAATGCATGTGGGTCACACTTTAGTTGGCAGACGTGGGGTTTCTTTTGGTTTCCCTATTCTTAATGATTAAAATTGACAAAGTACGATGCAGTCCGGTAGTTGTTTCATGTGAAAAAAAAAATTCCGGTAGTTATTTTGGCTCAATGTTTTCTAATAGTTTGGCAGCGTCTTCATGTTGAATGTCATGCAAGAACTTAATTAAAAGACAATCTTTTCCATCTATTTAGTTCTCTTGTATTTGGACTTTGACTACTATTCCTTGGCTTATTTTCTTGTTTAAGAATAAACATGCATATATTTGTGTTAAGAAAATTAGGGTTTCTTTAATTTGGGTCAACCCTAATAAAGATAAAAAAGACATTTAAACCCAACAAAAATCCATATGTTTGGCCCACTAAATATATAATTTTATTAAGTATTTATGGACTTCGAGAAATTTTTTTGGCTTGAATAATAAATTTGGGTCAAATTATGGATATGGACTTTTGATCCAATTGACTGGTTTGACCAGGTTTGATCATGTTTGACCAGAGTTGATCAAAGTTGACTTTGATTAAAATTTTTGTTTAATATGTATAATTTTAAATTTAAATATTGGTATGATTATATATATTTTGAAATAAATTAATTGAAACAATATAGCACCAAAGTAACCTCTATTGTGAAAATTAATTTATTTTAGAATATAACTAGTTGGATGCTTGTGATTCTGTGAATATTGATCGACCCAAAAGAAGGTCAATATTTAATAAGATTGCATGTGCACTTGTGATAATAAACACGTGATAATTATTCGAGTTTTTACATGTGAATTATAAATTGGCCTAAAAAAATTTATTTTTTGATATGTTATTATTGTCAGTGTTTATTGTTGCGCTAAGATATCACTTAGAAGTTAATATTCTGTCCAAAGATAAAATATTAATGAAATATCGGTATCTTGAGATGGGACTGCCATTATTTGAATTTATTATTATTTTAGTTTATGTGAGCTTGTTTTAATTATTTTATATTTTCTGTTCAGTTGCAAATGATCTTACAAATATTACTACCAACATTAATAATATTCCTATGCTGAACGGCACAAACTTCAAGTCCTGAAAAGAAAATCTCTTGATAGTAATTTGAGTAATGGATCTCAACCTTGTATTAAGGGATGATTCTCCCCCACCTCTTACAGATCAAAGTACCTTTGATGAAAGGTGGGATAAGGAAAGGTGAGAGAGATCAAAGCGCTTGTGTCTGATGATCATTAAAAGGTCGTTTCAAAAACATTTAAAGGAACAATGTCAGAAACGACAGTAACCGTTAAAGAGTTCCTTGAAGACATTGAAAAAAGGTTTGTCAAGAATGAAAAGACTAAAATTAATACGCTTTTGACACATATAGTTTCAATGAAATATAGTATTAAAGGTAATATTAGAGAGTCCATCATGGAGATGTCTCATCTTGTTTCAAAATTAAATGCACTTAAATTGGTACTCTCTGAGGAGTTACTAGTGTATTTGATTCTAATATCTCTTCATATGCAGTTTAGTCAGTTTAAGGTGAATTACAACTGTCAAAAAGAAAACTTGGTCTTTAAATGAACTCATCTCACACTATGTAGAAGAAGAGAAAAGATTGAAACAAGATCAGACAGAGAGTGCTCATCTAGTCTCAACCATGAATAATAAAAGTAAGGGATTTAAGAGGAAAAAGGATAAAAAAAACTGCAGGTATAGCACCACAAAAGAAACAACAAAAGAAACAACAAAAGAAATCAGTTGATCAAGGAAAGAATAGTTATTTCTTCTGTGGAGTTGAAGGGCATAAAAAGAAGTATTGCACCAACTATTATGCTTGGCGTGCTAAGAAAGGTATGCTTCTTAATTTGGTTTGTTCTAAGGTTAATTTAATTTCGGTATCTAGACACACATGATGGTTAGATTCTGGTGTAACAACTCACATCAGTGTGTCTATGCAGGGTTCTCTGACTTGTCGAAAGTCTAATGATAATGAAATATATATCTACATGAGCGATGACGAAACAGTTCAAGTTGAGACAATAGGAGTTTTTAGATTATTGTTAAAAATCGAATTTTATTTGGACCATAATGAAATATTTGTTGTACTGTCTTTTTGATGGAATTTAATTTATATTTCTGCTTTGGACAAATTTGATTATTTTTGTTTATTTGGAAATGGAAAGTTTGAATTGTTTCATGATTCAAAATTGAATGGTTTTGGTTCTTTAATGTACTACGATAATCTATATTTAATTGATACAATTGTCTCATTTAATGAATCTCTACATTTGAGTACTAGAGGAGTAAAAAAAAATTGAATAACGAGAATTCAACTGCATTATGGCTTAAGAAATTGGGATATATCTCCAAACGGAGAATAGAAAGACTTGTGTCAAATAAAATTTTCGACCCCTTGAATTTTACAGATTTTAATGATTGTGTTAATTGTATAAAGGAGAAACAAACCAATAAATAGAGATTTGAAACTAATAGGTTCTTAGACATCTTAGAACTTATACATACAGATATTTGTGGACCATTTTCTACATCTGCTTGGAATGGTCAACAATATTTTATAATAGACAATTTTTCAAGATATGGCTACATATATCTCATTTCTGAAAAATCACAGTCACTAGACGTGTTCAAAAATTTTAAAGTTGAAGTTGAGAACCAACTCAACAAAAGGATTAAAAGCGTTATATCTTACCATGGTGGTGAGTACTATGGTAGATATGATAGTTCAGGTGAACAATGTGTGAGAACCCGTAAATTTTCGTATTTTCTGGGGTTTTATTTTATTTAATCGCACGTTTTTCTGTAATTTCTTTATTAAGAAATTTTCTAACTCGTTTTATTAGTAAATAGGATTTTTAAATAATTTTTCTGAGTATAAGTTAGTTTATGAGATTTTAGAAGTGGATACTGGGCGTGGGATCCGCTAGAGTTGAAAGTTCGGTAAAATTCGGCCAGTTAGGTTAAGTTTTGTAT